TGATAAAAGATCATTTGTTTAATAAAAGGATCTACAAATCAAAACTCTATCAACAGCAATTACCAAGCTAGATCCATGTGCGGTTATTGAACAAGTTCTGAAATAGACCCTTTCAAAAATTAATTAATAAAGGTAACTCATTTAACAAGATGTAGCAAAACAAAACTTTTGTCGAAATTAACAGAGCTAGGTCCATGTGTGGTTATTGAACAAATTCGGTAATCGACCCTTTCGAGATTCAAGTAACTAATTAGCAAAGGTCACTCCTTTAACAAGATGTAACAAATCAGAACTTTGTCGAAATTTTCCGAGCTAGGTCCATTTATGGTGATTGAACAAGTCACTTGTACAAAAAAGAACCCAACGGTACAAGCTACAGAAGATTTCTCCCTATGACTTCATATGTTGTTTGATCTAATATCAGGAACAGGTAAATAAACTACCTCAAATTTTATACGTTTTAGTCAGGGTTACTTACTCCACCTGAGATGGATCCAAATTCGCTATCAAAGACTACAAAATTATTAAGTGTTTTCTCTCTAACCCGAACATCAACCTCAATACATTCTAATCCTACAAAATAGTTCGGAATATACATATATATTCATATATATATCTACACATATACATATATATATATATACATATAGTAGTTCAGAGAAGAAGGAAATTCCTATTTACTTGTGCTTCGTCCTGTTTAATGAAGATACATTGTAAGACCGTGTTCTTACCAGAGTAAAGCTGGTAACAGTGTAAGTGCTGTTCGCAACGAAAGCAGGAACAGACCTTGCAGCATATCTTCTACCAGCAAATGCCACCATATATCCACCAAAAGAATCCTGAGAAACCTCCAGTATATAAGTCAATATCAAAGTCCACCAACTATTGAAAAATCCCAGTTAAAAGAATCACACTTCTTTGAGTTGATTCAAGATTAATCAACCAAAAAATGCTAACCCTATGATTTGTAATTGCAGCATCAGCATCACTATACATTACTATAGCAGACTCGACTTCGATTTCTCCTTAAAACAAATAAAAAGTAAAGGAATTAGCCAAGTCTTGACCAATTTTCTCTCTATCCAAACAGCATGACCCATCAATATCTGCATTGAATCAGCATTTCAATAACCACTTCCATTTATAGCAGAGGCAGATGAAAATAGGAAACTCCAAAATTTCCAAAAAATGAATCCAGTGAAAAGCTTAAGATATGAACAGTAGATAAGCAAGATGAGTGAGCAAAAAAATGGATATGAGTTATAAACTAAAGAGAGTACCGGGAAGAAGGTAGAGGTGTTGACAGTGAGGAGTGAGATCTCATCAACTTTGGGCCTGAAAATGGCGAGCTGGGAATTGAGAGAGGCGAGAGACAGACGACGGTCGCAGGGAGAGAGCTGGTGAGACTGGTCAATGAAGAAAGACGGGCGGGAAGAGAATGCGATGCCGAGGGTGAAGCCATCGGATCTCTGAACCCTTGTGTCCGCGCACGGCTCGTAAAGTCCATTGCTGGCTAGCCCGGTGCTTGTAAAAACGAGAATCAGCAATGCAGTGAGACAAATTGCTGGCGTTGGAAGAATCGGTTTTACCCATTTTTGAATCATTTGATTCTGGGGGGGAAGAAAAGAGATGAGTGTTGCAGGATTCACAGCTCCCTCTGGTTATGGTGGCTAATGGTAATGGCCAGCAGTGGGAAAGATGACGAGCGTTTTGTTTTTATTTGGCTCGCCCATAATTATTTATTTATTTTAAAAAAATTTATATTTAAATTTGTATTTAATTGTAATTTTTTTATGAGATGTAATTTAATTATAATTAAACTAGCATAGAGTATATATACACATGACTATATTTTAAAATCATATAAAAAATTCCAATTAAAATTGACTATTAAAACTATTTAATGCATTTAAGATTATGTTAGAAATAAATTTAAAAATATTATAAAATTTATTTAATCGAAAGAATATAGTTTTTCGTTATAATCTCATATATATATATTGTTAAAATAACAATTTGGTACATATACTAATTGTCTTCATCAAAAGTAAACGTTAACAATTTATATGTACTTCTTCGATCCCGAGTTCTCTCTCATTGACATCTCGTATTTGATTCACTCTTTATCAACTACTTAAACTCACTTTTTTCATCAACTGACTCGGTTAACTCTTCTTATAAATAATCTCTCTTTTGCTCTTCTCCTTTTCTTTCATTTTTTTTTTCATCTTTTAAAATCTATTGTATCTCCTCGTAAATACATTCAGTTACATAAGAAATTAAAAAGAGATCTCTACCCTTTTGGCACTCATTTTTATTTGCATTTTTTTTCCATTTTCAAATAGTGACGGAGGACAATGAAAATTCTGAGAGTAAAATATACGATACGATATCTTCTCTGACACAAACAATGTGGTAAAAACAGAAGTAGAAAGTATATACAATAAAGTTTTTTGTTGACTCAAAAATTCGAGAAATGAAAAGATTAATCGACGATGAGCTTTGAGCTCACTTCATTGAACTTCTGACTTAGTACCTTCACATTTTTCTCTTTTCTTTCATGGGATTTTACACATGCATATTCAATGTATTATTATATGTATTTTACATCAAATAATATATGTATATATATATATATGAAGAATTTTTTTATTTATTTATGAACTAGTTAAAATTATTATATTTGTAATTTTTATAACTCATTAGATGTCACATGACGATATCAGACATAACATTCAACTAACTTTTGAACAAATAAAAAAATGATACACGCTAACAAATATAATATACGATACCCTAAATTAATGGTTTATAATTTAAATTTTTTAAAAAAAATATAAGAATTTTTTGTTTAAAGATTTTATTATATTAGCTTGTAAGTATACACATCACAAAGACAAAAGGTGTACAAATAATTAAACTGGTTAGAATTAAATCAATAAATAATACATACAATACATTATATTCCCATTCCGTACAGCTTCCCAACAACTTGTCTATTATGATTGAAGGCGTATCTTCACTCTATATTTATATATATATATATATGTATTTAAATTTATATGATAATATTAAGTTATAAGATATTTATTAATAAATAAAATCCATTTTATGAGAAAATTTGTATTATTTTTCAAATTTTTTTTTTTTTAAAAAAAGAAAGACAAACTTGTTAATAGAAAATGTTAATATATATATATATATATATACACACACACACACACGCGCATACATATATATAGAATAGGAAAAAACTTTCACGTGAGCATGAACTGTCGGCAGAGACAGTCAACCTCACAATTTCCTTTTCCCATTTTTAAGACTTTCATAAATTATATATGTATAAACTCCACCAAACATAATTAAATAATCAAGCAGAAAAAAATATATGTATATATGTATATATATATATATACACACACACACACAAAATCAGATCCCACTGCAAAAGACAGTGATTACAATGAGCTTATTCTAATTAATCAAACTTGATATTAGAACAAACCCATTAAAAAAAAAAAAAAAAAAAAAAAAGCTAAGCAGAAGTAAATGACTTCTTGAATCTCTCCTCATATCAAGAAACAAAAAAAACCCATGTCTGTTTTCTTCCATTCCCTTGCCTTTCTCGAAGGGATTTACATACACATCCCTTCTTCCTCCTTTATATATAAATGTTCAATACATGATGAATATAAAAAGTATATGTACAAGAATCACACAGCAGAAGCTTTGAAAGGAAGAAAAGAAAAAGAAACTTCTTCAAAGAAAGAAGAGAAGAAAAAACTGCTGCTACTACTACTGACTGCTATTGAATTACAGCTTTGGAAGGAGAAAAACACCATCTCTTCACATTAACTAGTATATATCTACTTCTCTACATCTTTTGATGACTAAAAAAAAGTCTCTATAGATCTCTCTACATATACATACTTATATATATTAAATGTGCAAATTCTGGGGGAGGGGATTTTCATGGGTTGTGGGCACTTTATGCCTCTTCAAAACCATATATGTCCCCAATTCCCCCCTTCCCAAGTTTTACTCCCTCTTCCAACTCTTTTTTCCACAATCCCAACTTGCTCAAAAATCCTCTCTCATTTCACCTGCACATTTACAAAAAGGTCAATTCGAGAGTTGGATTCAGAAAGGTTACAGTTTTTTATATTAATGGAGAAGCAGCACAGGAAATTTGACAAAGAAAAAGATCACATAAAAAGAGCACAAAAAAGGTGTTCGCAACATTAACTACATCAGTGGTTTAAATTATGATTTTCAGAAAGCATTCACCATCCAAACAGTGACATCTAATTGTCAAAAGGCCATTGCTACCAATTAATGTTGCAAGTTTGAGTTTACTGTACTATTCTCCAACAATAGAAACATATACTACGGCAGCGTTCCATTGCCATACCAAAGTTTATTTCCATATGACGCTTTAATGATAAACGAATTACTCAATTTTGGCGACTTGAACTCTTTCTAACAGTAAATAGTAAATTATACTGACCCCACAGATAATAAGCATGACACAGTATCAACCCAGAACACCACATATACAAAATTACAAACGCATACCAAAAGGCTCAAAAGGGTATCCTTTCTCTCTTTTATTTTTGATACCTTTTCTTTGTTTTGGTCGGGGCCTGTGCTCAATTCATAAATGAGGATTGAACTATATTACAGACCACTCGCTCACCAACCATTAGGCTCATGATTTCTGGTTTCTAATGTGAAGGAGATAAACTAAGGATACTTATCTAGATGTCAATACAGAGAAGCAAAATCTCAGTCCTCAAGCCAACAACAACAGGAACAGATCATAAACAGCACAATAAAATAAAATCATATAGCTACGAAAAAATTATGGTCACTTGAATTGGGTCTGTCTTTAACTTATTCTGTTTTCTACCCTTAATTCTATCTTACAAAGAGATCTAATCTAACCATAAAGAGAATAATAAAACAGATATTCCAGCATTATTCAAGTTGCCATGGATGATTGGATCCCCACAAGCTGAAATTGTTTGACCAAACCATTAAGAAAATACAAAACCCATAAACAGGCTCCTACACTGATGTTTCACCAAACAATTAGATTCTTCAAATTCAAGACATACGAATAAAGAAAAGGGAAAAGAATATGTCTTACTCTTCACCTAACCCTAACTTTCATTGAAAAATCTAGCCCTAGGTATTTAAAAATAACTAAAAGAATATCTCAGATACAGGAAAATTACCCAAAAAAAAAAAAAACGAAATGGGTTTGTAAGTTGTCAGCAGAAGAAATTGGACTCAGTTCAATTTTATAAAAAAGAATAAGACAGAAGCAAAGCATCCAATAAAGGGAAGGTGGGGATTTGACTGCGACTCTTTTCTCTGTAAAATAAAAATTCAACCTTTACGGTTCACACTAAACTGCACCAACTATCTCAATAATCATCTACCAATCCTAACACATACCAAATGCAATAACAACCAACTCACTCGCTCAACTCGGTGTGACTCACCCGAGTCAACTAACCAACTCAGGAAACAATAGAGCAGACACAAAACCGGCATTTACTTACCAGGAACAAACTTTTTCAGTCCCGGAAAATGACCGAATCAGCAATACCCATCAAGGGTTTCAAGCAATCCGGCGTGAATTTACGAGCAAACAGATAAGAAGTCGAGAAATTGGACTTCCTCAGCTCATGAATCAACTGCTCTGAAACTTCATGGGGCCGGTAGGTATACGGGTGCCCGTGAGTTGTCCCCGTCCAATTCACTCGTGTTAGGGTATAGTGAGTGCAGCCATTTGGATCCTCCATGGACAATAAGGTGGGGAAGTAGTGCTCCTCCGGGTAACACTCATCAGACCTGTAACAAGGCAGCTTGAACTTCCTCCACAGAGTCCGATCCTTTAGGGTTAATAGCGCGTGTTCTCG